CGTCACAAACCAGTAGGTGGCAGTAGTGTTCTTTGACAAACATGGATGCCTCCAGTAAAGCACATCCACATGAAAATTACTCTTAATTAAAAACACTATCATTTATTGAACAGTATGTAATTATTTCATATTTAAAATACTTTCAGAAGTTTGAAATTTGAATGTGACCAGACTTTTCCTTTAAAGTGTTTGGTAGATGAGGAAGATTTGCACATTTAACAGCTAAACATGTTGATCTCTGAGCAAACATGGGGACCTAAAATCAGTTATCCAACTAGAACATTTTAGAAATTGACTTATACTCTCAAGAAACGACAACCAATCGTTAATAGGACTTAAAATATATACAGTAAGCTTCTACGTGGGTGGAGGAGCTCTGAGAAATGTGTTCACTGCTTTTGTTGTCTTTAAAATGACAACAACAAAAACAGCCCTAAAACTTATTTATTATTTATATAGAATAACAAAACCAGCAGATACAGCATGATGTGAAACTTCCAGAGTTTGAAATCCGTGTTTTTTTGTCATACCGGGACACTATAAAGCCGCTTGGCTTTCCCTCAGATACACAGAACCTGTGTCCTTCCTACCCAGTGGGAATCGGAGGTCCTAAAAGTTCTGACCATCTCTGTTCTGCTCTGCAGCACAACATGAACATCATCCACCGCGACCTGAAGGCGGAGAACGTTCTGTTCACCACCAACGGCTGCGTGAAGGTGGCCGACTTCGGGTTCAGCACCCGGGTGTCCGGTCGCAGCGTCGCTCTGGACACGTTCTGCGGCTCGCCCCCCTACGCCGCTCCGGAGCTCTTCAGGGACGAATGCTACCTGGGGCCCCCGGTGGACGTGTGGGCCATGGGGGTCCTGCTCTTCTTCATGGTGACCGGCACCATGCCGTTCAGGGCGGAGACTATGGGCAAGCTGCGGCGCTGCATCATCGAAGCCAACTACACCATCCCCCCCTGGGTGCCCGGCCCCTGCCAGAGGCTCATCAGGGGCATCCTGAAGCCGGCCCCCTCGGAGCGCTACGCCGTGGACCAAATGCTGGGCTGCGACTGGCTGCTGCCGGTGGAGTTCCCTTGGACTCTGGTTCCCTTTGAGCCGCCGAGCCCCCTGCAGAGCCTGCTAGAGTCGGAGCGCGTGACCCTGGAGGAGGAGAAGGTGGAGGAGGAGGTGAGGAGCTCCTTGGAGGAGCTGGGCTTCACCGTGGAGCACCTCCAGAACAACCAGCTGACAGAGAGCCGCAGCCCCGTCACGGGAGTCTACCGCATCCTGCTGCACCGAGCCCAGAGGAGGTGGGGCTGCGACTCGCTGCCGGTGGTGCGGGGGATGGTGAGGGACCCCAAGAGGGAGGGGCTCCGGGCCTACAGGGGCCTCCGTCACACCTCCAAGTTCTGCGTGCTCTCGTAGCGCGCCGATAACTGCGTGCACTTTAACCTTCCAGCGTCGATCCGCTGATGGAAACTTTTCTGTGGTTGTTTTATGTGGAAGTGCCTGAAAAAAGAACAATAAAACGAAAGTGGAGCTTAAAATTTCAAAGCGATTTTTTGTTTTGTTTGATTCCCCTTTAACCTTTTCCCCTTTTATCCAGTTAAAACAACATAAAATAAACCGAAAGTAGTAAAAAAATAACTTAAATGAAGACGTGCATGATTTGAAATCAACTTTCAGAGAAGAGAATGGAAGCATGCATTTTAATTTAGACCCTTTAACTATAATAAACAAAATCCAACAAACAGACCTCAGACGTCAGCTAATTGGTAAATAGCAGTGATGGGTTATCGACTCATTGCCAAACTATTGATGCTTTCTCACAGATTACTGACACCTGCTGGACATTTACAGGGTTCCTTAAAAAGCCTTAAAAGGCATTGAATTCTTCAAAATAAAACTAAGGCCTTAATTGGTATTAAAATGTCTTAA